CAATTTTATCTCGGTCATTCGTTTGATAACCAAACACCAAAAATATCAAGCACACATATTTATAAGTTAATAAACAATAGTTACACCAATGATATGATTTGTTGAATCGATCTTGTGGAGAGTGGTAAGGGTTTTTTTTTTTTTTTTTTTTTTTTTTTTTTTTTTGAGATGGTGGCTATAGATTAAAAAAGAAAATAAAGAATAGAGTTTTATTTTAAAGGAATGATATATGGTGGAATTATAAAAATAATACGAGGATATATTTGACCTTTTTTTTTTAATTATATAAGCACTTTTAAAATGCAACCAAACAACTTTAAAAAAAAAAAAAATTAAAATGTTTATAGGATTAAAAAAGCTCTTTTGGCTCATAAACAAGCCCCAATCAAACAAACTCTTAAAATGTTATTTTTCAAAAAATATCATTTTTCATTTTATAAATTTGAGTTTTTTTTTTATACTAAAATAATTTTTTGATAGAGAATATATAATAATATTCTTGATTTAGAAATTTAAATGACAGAGAAAATATAATAGTATTCTAATATCTTGGCAAAATAAATGCTTATATGGTTAGTAGTTGGATCATTGCATTAATTAAGATTATGATCAATCTAGGCGGCTTCCGCTTCCGCTCTCGGTATTATAATATTATAAGTCAAATAATATACATATATTAAATCAAATGTTTAATATTTATAGAACGAAACATTTTGGTGGTTAAATTTATTTTCTAATTAATAATATCTTGTTAGGTGATCACAATTCAAGTTCATATAAAAAATTGGAAATTCTAGTGTATGGTCGTCTCATTTATTCTAATTCCCAATTGGAAATTGCTCATGTTTATTACATTATTTTGAATCGTTTTTCTATTATCTTATTTAGATTAGAAAATAGAATATATATTTATTTATTTATTGGGCTAATTCATTCAGAAAATTAATCCTAACTCAAATAGGAATTTTTGGCTCAAAATGAAAAGTAGGTGAGGCTTGTTTTCTATTATCCTATTCTTTTCAAATCAAAACAATTTTCCAACTTTATTCAACTAAAGGCAATTACCTTTCACTCATTCCAATCTAAAAATTATTCCACCTAAGACCACCACTATCTGCCAGCAACCACCGTCTACCACTGTGGCCAGAACTACGCACGATTGATCACATCTTAGGTAGATTAATTTTTAGATTGGAAGAAGAGAAAGAAAAATGTTTTCAGTTGAATAAAGTTGGATAATCTAAAAACAAGTCTCTACCTCTTTTCATTTTTAGACAAAAAATCTTATTTGAGTTGGATTAATTTTCATATTTGATTGACTCAATAAGTAAACAAATACGTATTTTATTTTTTAATCCAAATAAGATAACAGAAAAATGATCTAGAATAGTGTAACAGGGCTAACTAATCAAGGTAGCACATATCAAGCTCATGATTAGGTTTGGTCATAATCTAGGGCGCGTTTGGTTTAATATTCCTATCCATATTCCTAAAATATTTGTTTGTTTAATTATTTAGGAAATACTATTTTATTTTTTAATTACTTTTAGACCCCTTAAGTTTATTAATGTCATAAATACCCCCAAAAAAGTTTAAAAATTAACAAAAACACCCCCATCCACCCGTAGTTGCCAGATTCCAACAACCACCGTAGATGGTAGCCGAAATCTATCACAACGGCTTACAAATGATTGAAAATGGATGGTAATTTGTCGATCTGGCCTTTTTCAGCTAGATCCACAGACGGCCAAAGAAATAGCTGTCGTTGACAGACAACTACGGCTAGATTGATGCACGTCAGGCCAGATCCGACTGATCTGCATTGTAACGCCAGATTTCGACTAGATTTTGATGGTAGTGACCGGAATCTAGCATTGTGGGTGGGTAGATGAGGGTATTTTTGTCATTTTATATATTGTAGTATTTAGTTAAATTAGCAAATTTAGGAAGTTTTTTTTATAAATTTTTAAATTTTACCTTGTAATAATTACCTTATCTAACTATCTAATACTATCTCTAAAATTCTATCCAAAATAATAAACCAAACGCAATCCTAATTTTTAAGATCAAACTCTTACTATTAGACCAAACACTATAGTGTTACCCCATTATTAATTTGATTTGACGCTCCAACTGCCGTTGGGATAAGGTGCTGATACACTTGGTCAACATATACAATAACTTCTGTATACATTAATAATTGAAAAATATATTTCAATTAAATATTGGGGTTTTGTAAATAAACCCCAATGTTTTTCACCAAATTGTTGAAAGCATTTGCCAGTATTGCAAATAACGTCGTTAGTTTTTCCCGTTAAAGTTAACAGACTTTAAGGTATAGCCATTATTTTCAATTTTTAATGAGGTTCTTTTAGACTTTTCATGTTTCTAAAAACCTTAACTGTTTTTTCTCCAATTACATCTCTATCTTTTTTCTTCTTTTTCTCTTATTCTTCCATTTCCCCTTTACCACCCAACAACCATAGGCGGTTTGCAAGGCCATATCTAGTCTTGAAAGTTGTTGGGGAAGTGGTGTAAGCCCTGGTTTGGCCTTGCAAGATCTAATGAAATGGCTTTAAGCCTGATTTGGCATCGCATTGCTTTTCAACAATACCTAATTTGGCCTTCTGCTACCCAAGAGGCAGTCAATGAAGCTTGATTTGGCTGCTAGGAATGTGGCACAAGGCCAACAGCCAAATCAAGCCTCATGCCATCAAAGAGGAGGACAATGAAGCTTAATATGGCCTCGTGTCACTCTAGTGCATGGTGCCACTAGTTTCTTGATTGTAGGAGATGGGGGTTTATTTGTCATATTTTAGAGTAAGAGGGGTAAAGTGATAAGGTTTTAGGGTTGGAAAGGTAAAAGCGTCAATTTCTATTTTAACAAATTATTACTAATGATTTTAACGGAATAAGGGGCTAAGCTCCTATTTTCAATACTGGCTTGTATTTTTAATGATTTCATGAAAACTATGGGCATTTAATTGTAAAAACTAATATAAGAAATAAAAATTTATTTAATTTTAAAAACAAGCGAATTATAGTTGGATATAATTGTTAGCGACAGAACATTAGAAATGAGATAACTTTGTCGGAAAGTCATTAACAAGATAATTGACAAGTGTGTGGTGTATTATTATTTAGAGCAAGCGACTTTTTTCCAACCAAGGTTTGCCTTCATGACCTTTTCACCCAAAAAGTTATAAAGTATCACTTTCCCACCCAAAGTTTATATTTCGTTTATTATCGAGGATATGCTTTCTGATTTGGCAACCAACAGCAAAAAAACTCTGTCTAAACTATTAGAGTTTTAAAGAGAGGATGCTGATTAGTCTTTTTGTAGTGGCAAGTTGGATTTTCGTGATCGGTATTGGTCGAAATCTAACTTGGGAGGGGCGGTTGCGTGTTACACAAGTCACTCGATTGTCGACAATTGACAAAGTTAGTGGGAGCAAGGTTTAAGGGGTTTTGATGAGTGGTGACTATGAAAAAAAATGATGGTAGTGTAGATTCATAAAGATGCTAGAAATCTGTCAATGATTGATCGAAATATAAACTTTGGGTGAAAAAATGTCATTAAGGCAAAACTTGGGTGAGGAAAAGTCGTTTACTCTATTATATATTTTGATAGAGAAAGCAAATATGAATGGTTTCTCTTTATAAACACAGTTTCACAATTAATGATCAAATCCGAATTTGACGAACAGGATACGGGTGGATAGGATCCAGTACGATTACCAATCAACAACATTAAATATTAATTGACAAAACATATTGTCAATAATTGATGTTTTTAGAGTAAATTTTAACACTTGTTTTGATTTAATATTTTTTTAACTCCTATAAATATGTTTTTGTTTTGATTTTAAAGATATTTATAATAATAAAGCTGTGAACAAATAAATTAATTGGCTCCGGCATAGATACCTCAAATGATTAAAATAAAAAATAAAAAAACTCCCCTACTAGCTGTGGGGCCAAGTTACTTTTGGAAAGACATCAGTATTGACTTTGATTCAAGGCCTTGGAGGTGGATACTGAACAACAGTTTGAATTTTTAGGGCTTAACGAAAATGAGGCCGAATTCCTACAGTTGCAAAACTAGCAATTGTAAAAGAGGAATTACCAAAGCCAGGGCATAAAGATGCCAAATGTTGAATGTGTGCCTTGAATGAAATTTTAAAGATCTTCCAATCAAGGTGTAACATGGGTTCCAAGAGGTATTGAAAGTCAGCCACTAACCAGCATCATATATCTCTTGCAAAGGACCACAACCCAAATAAGTGAGCTGAATTTTCAAAGCAATTGTAGGAATGAACATGAGACAGAGAAATGTTATGGGGATACCCTTCCCTTGCAGACTATTATCTATAAATGAATGTTTAGAAGAAATATGGTTCTTCCCAAATGGCCTTGGCCCAATCAACATTGCTGTTAGGATTCCCAACCATATCGTAACTCAAGCCTAAAGGGAGAGTTCCATCTTTAGACTTTAGAGTCTTCCCATATAAGCCCATAAGAAGAAAGGATTATGGAAAGAGTAATCTCGCCTGGAAAGTGTTATTTGAAGCACATTGGGATATTTCACATGAATTATTTTTAAAAACAGCTGAAACTTTAGCTTTTAGATTCGTACGATCTGAAATCCCTATAAGCTCGTAGATGAGCCAGCTTGTGTAGCCATTTGGAACAATGAAACATTTTTCTATGATAAAGTTTACTATCCTTCTTCATATTTATCAAAATCTAAAAAACATTTAATATATAAGTGTATATTAATTTGTTATATATAAAGTACAAACTAATAATTTATGTAATTTTTATTAATAAATTAGAAAGAATTAAATTTATTAATAAACTTTAGAGACAATAAATTAAAATAGAGTTAAAAGAAATTACAAGAATGTTGTTCGGACTCACAAATGCTTCCTACCTTCCAAATTTTGTTAATAAATTAGTGAGGAATACCAAGTATTGCTTTCAAGTAATGGACAGAAGATGCAATAATCGTTTACAAATCTTATGTTCAATTTAATTTGAGACATATAATAAATTTATGATACAATGAAAGCGTTTTTCCCACTTAGCTCTCACTGAAAACAGAATATTACAATTGAACAAACCAATTCAGGCAATCTAAATGTCCAAAGTGACTTCGATCGTTATGAATGATTCTTCTTTATTCATAATACAAGAAAACAAAACACAAATATGAACAATTTGTTCAACGCTAGAAGATCGACCCAATAGGTTCAATTAATTTTACGGCAGTTGGTACGAATCTCGCCCTCGCTTCCTGTAAGAGGGCTGAGGCCTCCCATTTTCACCATGGCATTGGCGAAATCCGCATGGAAAGTATTCAAGTTGGTGCTATAAGTTGTGACTTGAGAATCGGTGGAGCCACCACTGAAGAGCTGTTGATCTGAATGCAGAAGGCCTTTGTTGTTAATCAAGTTATTGAAATATAAATTGTCAAAGATGACAGGGCTATGAGCATCTAGCGGAGAAAGATTGTCATTGCTGCCTGTGGTTGGACAGTTCGATTTTAGTGATGTAGCAAGAGTTGAATCAATGGTTGTCTCATTGTAGAGTCGTTCTCGAAACATTGAGCACCTTGCTTGGCCTGTCGTGTGAGCTCCTGTTTATATTTACTCATCAGAAAGTTCATAAGTTCTGTCTTAGCTTATCAAAATTATAATGAAACATAAAATTAATTAAAATGCAACTTCAGCCTTTTAAAAGCAAAAGATTATAATATAGTTGATGTCAATGCATCATGACTGACATTATCGTTTAATTGACTAGTATTATGTTGCCTATTGTACCATTTCTCATGCGAAACTGCTAATATTTTACCAAATTTGGGCTGATTGACTACTAGTTTATGCATATTAATTGCTAAAAGATAAAAAATTTACAATCTCATGCAAGAATTTTTACTAAAATTTGGCATTTGACAGTTTTTCTGTGCTAGCCAATGTGTCATTGATTTAACAAAATGAAATTAGCCAGTGTGTCCAATAATATATTTAATTAATGGTGTAACTATTTGTATCATAATTTAAAAAAAAAAAAAAAAAAATAGGGGTAATTGATCTCAGTTGTTAATAATTATAAATTATCTGTTGAACTAATTTAATAAATATTAATAAATTGAGAATATATAGTTGTACCTGAGAGAACTACCATTTCTTTAGCACTGAACCCTTTTTTGGCAAAGGAAGAAATAAGGTCACTAAGATCCAGTAGTGGTGATGGAAGGTCGGTATTTGCAGCCCCTAAACTTGCCGTGGTCGATTCTCTTCTACCTAACTGAACCGTCCAAGAAGGCCCACCTAGCTGCAGAGGAAAAAATTTATATAAGTTTCAAAAACATAAATCAATGGTGTGGCAAGTAGACGTGAATGTTTATCCAATACTTTAATATATATGCATTAATTTTATAATCGTCAACCAATCATGCTTGTAATTTTATAGAGGAAAAAGAAAAATCAACTTATAATTATTGTGGTATTACAAGATAGACGGTCTCAAATAAGTTTTTATTTCTTTAATTAGCCATTGTTTCCTTTTCCATATTCATTTGTTTTATTTATGAGGTAATTTGGTGTAGATTTTTGCTTCCATAATTTTAAACTGTATTTAATTTCTTGGTACATCATTTTAAATGTTGAGATTTACTCACAGCAACAACAGAATCTCGAGCAGCAACAGCAACAATATCTGCACAGGAAACAACTCCAGGGCAAATACTCTCAACTTGAGATTTAATTGTATCGACCACTTCGAACCCTCTTAGTGAATCTGCATTTGCGGCTGCCGTCTTCTCTCCAGTAAAACTTGAAGTGTCATCTAATAGAACGGATGCATCGCAACCCTAACCTCATCAAAAACAAAATTACATTAATACAAATGATAATAAATTACTATCTCACGTGTATATATCAAAGGCTTGTGATTGTTAACAACAATGGCAGCAATAATATGCTTATAAGCACTAATTAATTCAGTTTGTTGAGTTTCTTGATATTGCAAAGAGGCGACCAGTTTCACCTCTGGCATCAATTCCCACATGTTTGGTTTAGACTTTGTTAAAATGGAACATATGAAAAATAATGGAGTACACGTATATATATATATATGAAAGTATTTTTAGATGTGGATATCCACCTTTTTTTTCTTCTTTAAATTCAGATCCTTAATAGTCGACCGCGATTAATGTTAAAAAGTATAATTTTGCAACCTTTCATATAAAAAAGTTTTTCCGGAATTTTATCTTTTTAGTGTTTTTCGAGCATATGCAAGAGTAAACGATTTGTTTTTGCATGCATGCAAGCTTTGCATGAACGTTTTCACATTGGATATGTATTATACAAGTTATGCAACTTAATCAATTGTATAAAACATATAAATTAATTATCATATATATATGATGCCTGTAAATGTGTATAAAGAGAGATAGATGTCATACAGTTGCAAAGCAATCGTGGAAATGGAGACGAAGCAATGAAGCCCCCATGCGATGCTCCTTCATTACGGCATTAGTTACAGAAGTTCTAATGGTGGAAAGAGCTTTTGGACAAATTGTAGCATAGTAATTGGAGGATAATTGTGCAAAGGATAATTCAAATGAAAACAAAAGGATGAAGAAGAAAACTCCATAAGAATTTGAAGAAAACGCCATGATCTAAATGTTAACTGAGACGCCAAATGAAGCTTGAATAATATTGTGCTTAGTTGTGACTGATGTATGATGCTCGATAGTCTATTTATAGAAGAGGCTTGTTGGACTATATGTACTAGGTCAATTAATAGTTCATTATTTTTTAAAAGAAACGAAGTTTTGTGCGCACGTACATATATTGACAGTTCCAAACTCACCACTGTAGTTTTCATTATCCATCTGTTTGAAAAACTTTTAGAGAAAATTTTCAAAAGAAGATTAAGAAACTATTGAGATTGTTTTGTTGAAAATTATGAACTATGTTAACATAATAATTCAGTTGTGAATTGCAGTAGCATAACTTTTGATTAAAATCATAATTTAAATTTGTTGTACGTTGTGTTTTCTAAATTATTTTTTTCTGCAAAAAGCTAGTGCCCTGACTATATATGTAAATAACTGAAAAAAAAAAATATATGATACCACTTTAATATTTTATATCCTTTTACTATAACATATTTAAAAGATGAACTTTTTTTCATCGAAGGAAGATATATATGTACATGGAAATTGTATTAACTTTTAAAACACAAAATATCATTTTAAATGCAAAAAACTTTGAATATTTTTTTGTCATTTATTACAGTCAATAAAACGACATCTACATGTCAAATTTCGGATGGTTTGCATATGAGATTGACTGTAATATATAATATATAAAAGTAGTTTTTAACTATAAGGATGAATTTAGAACAATCTAAATTGCTATATTAATTAATAAATTATTAGAGTTGTAACAGAAATGGTAGACTAGTAAATGAAGATGGATTAACTTAAGGACAATACATTGATTTCAGGAAAATTACATATTATCACGTTGTCATATTATAATGGGGTAGTGACACATAAACAACCACATTAGTTGAAATCTAATTTATATGCATATTATTATTGTAAAATTATAATGTTAAAGATGAATTTTTAATACTCAAACTTTGATTTATAATAAAATTAACTGTAATTTCTAACTATAGGAAGCAATATAGACGTAACATAAAACATTTGTATTTCTAGCCCTATCCGAATAAATTTTTTCAACATTAGACGAACATGGTGGAGGTTGGTATCTGTGTGTGAACAAATTTGTGAGAAGGAATCTAACCAAGTCAAAACCTGTTTTTACAATTTTTTTGCTAATCCCCCAAACTTTAGAATTTTAAGTGGTTTTGTCCAATAAAAAATAATAATAATAGATTTAGTTGAAAGCAAGCCACCACCACTACCAAATAAGTCTTAAAGTTTCATACTAATCTAGATAAAACAGAAATTTTTTATATGCTTTGACAGGGTATATTCAATTCAACCTTTTCTTTTCCTTCAAGAATATAGCTAGCTAGTTGTTTGACAATTAAGCTTTGGCTAAAGAAAGCATGCCACATTTGGAGATTTTAATTTGTGGACTTGGTGGAAATGTATGCTCACTAGACATTTAACATTATGAAGCATGCCATCTGTCTTAAATTTACTGGGAGTTGAATGTGAATGATTGATTCCTTCTCCTACCATTTACTGAAAGAGAATTTGGAAAGGACTTTCCCATACATTAAAATTCTTAATTGCAAAGAAAAAATCTAAAATATCACAGAGATATTATATCATTTGTATCACCAACCAATGCATTTATACCAGTCATGAATATTTTCTTTTTCATCAAATCTTCATTATTAATGGGATCGGTAATTATTAATTTAAAAAACCATGTGACAACAATGTATCAGTTGGTGAGACGAATGACGTAATATCCCTATGATACTCTATATGTTCTCAGTTAAAACATGTTACACGTCAACTATTGGCTTGCATTCTTTTAAAGCTTGGACATCTACCTAAATGTTGTATTTCATGTAATTATAACTCTCCATAATTATATCACAAACAACATCACCCTCATGGAATTAATGGAAGCTGAAGGTTGAGCAGAAAAATTATTATCTTAATCTTCCAAAGGAAGATATATAATTAATTGAGTATTCATTAACTTCCTTGCGCTAATCGTCCAAGGTACAAATGTTTTTGTCCACGGAAGATACAAGTTTGATGATTTGGTAATTCATTGTGGTAAATCCACTTGCATTAATGTTTGCTTCCGTAATGTTTAAAACTTCATTGTTTTGGTGGTGCTAGAAACGTGGTTAATATTCATCGTACTAATATTTTACTTTTATATTTTTGATGACCAGGGTGTCCAGATCAGTTTGCACATATCTTTACTAATCTCTGAGATTTATTGAATACCTTGCGAGTTCAATGAGCCAAGTAAGTCACAAAAGTGATAAGTGACCACTTTGTGAGAATTGAACACAAAACCTCTAAATAACCTACTTAAATAACTAAAATATTGTCATCCAACCACAAGGCAAGTGGTTCATTATACTAATATTGCTACTACTCTTTCAGCAAAATCTACCGTCTTAATTAGAGAATTCTAAGTCTATTCTTAGAGGTTTTCTCTAAGTGAGACGAGCTAATTAACTTTTTATTATGCTGTAATAGGTGGAGAATTCCTAATGTGGTTAATTTGGGCAAGATTGCAGATAGAAAAGCACCGTATTGCCTAAATTCGAGAGGTGGTGGTTCATTGATTTTGGCCATTCATGGCCAATTAGGTAAAGAGTTGCATAAGTAGTTGCTAATTTTATGATTGCATGTACTTTTTTCCGGGACGACACCTAACTGTTTGAAACTCAAAATTGTATTAGAACAGAATTATAATTTGAGGATTAAGCCATAGCATTAGTAGCTCCAACTTGAGTTTGAATTATTATAAAACATGGGGTAAATAATTTGATTTCTCATGTCATCTTTATTGTCCACATAATTAGAGTACCGTTGACGATACTGCATAATATTTAAACAATCTCATAGACATCATGCATTTTATGTATATCATATAGTGATATTCTAAAGAGTAAACGGTTTTTTTCCACTCAAATAATGGCTCAGTGACACTTTTTCACCCATAAACTTTTAAAATATCATTTTACTATCTAAATTTATATTCCGTTTCCGATTCCACATTGTTGTGTTCTCACATCACCACCATTCTCTTCTTTGATCAGCACTCACCAAAACCCGTAAAACCCTACTCCCACCAATTGCTAGCAATCGAGCGATTAGAGTTTGCATAACCACCCCTTCCAAGTCAAATTTCAATCAATCTCAATCACTAAAATCCAACCTTTCACCCCCAAAAAACTCATTGACCTCTCGGCCCTCTTCTAAAACCCTAGCAGTTTGGAGCAAGTTTGCTCTCAGTTCATTGTCAAAATATAAATTTGGTTAGTAAAATAATATTTTAAAAGTCTATAAGTAAAAAAGTGTCATTAAGTCATTATTTGGGTGAGAAAAAGTCATTAACTCATGCACAAATCAATCTCTCACGTAAAATAATGCACAAATCAAAATTGAAACATTATTTTACATGAGAGATTGATTTGCGCATGAGTTAACAACTTTTTCCCACCCACATAATGACTTAAATGAGATTTTTCCACCTATTGACTTTTAAAATACCACTTTACTACCAAAATTTATATTCTGACGACGAACAGAGAGCAAACTCGATTCAGATTACCGGGCTTTTGAAGAGGTGAGACCGAGGTTGGATTTTGGTGGTTAAGATTGATTGAAATTTGACTTGAGAGAAGCAGTTGTGTAAACACTAATTGCACAATTATTGATGATTGGTGGGGTTGACAGGAGTAAAGTTTGAGTGGTTTTGGTGAGTGATGATCAGGGGAAAAAATAGTGGTTGGTTTGGGGTCGTAACAATGCTGGAATAAAAAAAAAAAAGAATATAAATTTGAATAATAAAGTGATATTTTAAAAGTTTATAGGTGGAAAAGTGTCATTAAACCATTATTTCGGTGGAAAAAAATTATTTATTTACTCTTTGTGCATGATATAAAGAATAATATTTTACTACTCAAGTTAGTTCATTAACAAAGAAAGAACTTTTGTTAAAGCCAGATAAAGTGAAAGGAAATACAAAAATGTTGATCTACTTATAAAAATACAAATATAAAATGAAACGTAGCTCAACCCCACTAAAATCGTACAGATTCAATATCTATTAACACCCTATTAATGAACTAAAGAAGGCACACTTTTTTAATATAAGTATATTTATATATTAAATTATTAAGATTAACGTTAATTTCCTTTTTACTACAAATACTTTTAACACCTCACTATTTTCTTATAAACCTTAATTTTTTTATGTTATTCAAATCATCCTTAAAACATAAAGATAATTTATTGGAAGAAAATTTACAATAAGAGATACTAAATTACAAAATACAAAATATAATTTTTTAAGTATTTCACATATTAATTTATTGTTATTTTTTTCTTCAAAGTATTGGTAATATTTTAATCTATATATTTTTTGTGTTGTTTGACTGTAATATATTGTTGGGATTATTTTTAAAGATTTTTTTAGCTTTAATTTTTTCTAAACTTTCAGTTTAATTATCTAAAATTTTATTCTAGAAATAACGATGATGAGGGGTGAAAGGAATAAAGTGTTAACTCTTTTAAAATATAAAAAAATAGACTGAGAGGCATTTACGAAATTTATGGGATACCATACGAAAAAAAAAACAATTTTAAAACATTAAAATAAGGTGACTTAAGAAATGAAGTTTTTTTAGTCCATTAGTGGGGTGCCAATAGCTCTAGACAAAAACCACTATTGGATGACCCGATAGTGATGGTAAAAGAGCAAAGGACTCTTAATAAACTCTTGAGTTCGAGTTCTTTCAGACACTAATAGGGGTGACCATTAAGGCTTTTATTCGGTTGATAGTTATAAAACTTCGTATAATTAGTTGAGATTTGTACAAACAAACCTGAACAATCCAGTGATAAAAAAAAATAATAAATAAATAACTCCACTGATTCAATTATTTCTTACCCAATGTGATGAAGACGGGTAGAAACCCAACCTAAATAAAATATAACAATATTGTTTTTTCTTAACTAGAAATTTTAGGTATTAAA